AGAGAGAGAGAGAGAGAGAGAGAGAGAGAGAGAGAGAGAGAGAGAGATTTTATTCTCTAATAAGCGAATAAATGTAAGGATCGCTTTGATTTTATTTTTAAGAGATACATAAAGCCACAAAACAATTATTTATGATAGTTAAGTCAACCCCCTTGTTGAGATGGGGCTTGGCTTCCCCATAGAGGTACCCTGCTAAGAATCCCCACTTTTTCCTCCTCTCTTGAGCATCTTCCAAAACGTTGGTTTCATCTTCAGGTCCTGGGTTCATCTGGCTTTTAATGTGTTAACAGATTTTGAAAACGCCTTGAATACACCTTTCTCCTTACTTAACTAGAAACGTTGGCACGTGTGTGTAAATACACATCATACACACACACACACACACACACACACACACACACACACACACACACACACACACACATTTCTCCTTCCCCCACGTCCCCTCGCAGGGCAGGGTCTGTTTTGTTCAGCAATGCCATGCCTCACCTCTGGGAACTTGTCCATTGAAGAGGCAAAGGCAGCTTGGGAGCTTGGGAGCCCCGGTCGGTCGGAGCAGGGCAGGGAGGGCTGGGCCATGCCCCACCCAGGCACTTCACGGACAAGCTGGGGTTCGGTTCCACCCGCGGCTAGGCTGCAGACGCCGCTCACTGTGCTATTCCAGATAGCTAGCGGAGGGGTGGCAGCAGCCTCGTTCTTTCTTTCTTTTTCTTTTTCTTCTTCTTTTTCTTTTTCTTCTTCTTTTTCCTCCCTTGGAGGAAATACTGCAGCCTTCAGGACTGCGTGCCGGCTCCCTGGAGAGGCTCTCTCAGTTCCACCCACTGGCTGGAAGGAGGGGAAGTGAGTGAGAGGGGCAAGGCCAGCCGGAACACACCATGTCACTCTGGGAGCCAGACAGCAGCAACTAAGCCTGCACGGGTTTCTTTTTCTTTTCTTTATTTTTTTTCTTTTTTTCTTTTTCCTTTTTTCCCAATTTTTTCCTTTCCTTTCTTTTTCTTTTTGTCCATTGTTTCTCTCTTTTTTTCTTTTTATTAAAATTTCCTTTTTCCACGGTGGGAAAGAGACACACGAGAGACCGAAAGCTGTACTGCAAGGATTCCGAGTTGTGCTAAAGGATTTTTTTTTCTTTTTTTCTCCTCCTTCGCCTTTACAAGCGCCTGCGATTGACACCACTAGAGACAGGCTGGTTACAGAGCAAACTGCTTCATCCGGACTGGACCGACCGGGCAGCTAGGAGGAACCAGGCAGGCAAGAACTGGGGAAGCAGTCTGGGGGTTTCGCTACGGATCTCAACCCCCATCTGTTTTGGGGGGTTTTGTTTTCTTTTTCCATTTCTCTTTTCTTTGGGTTCTTTTGTTTTGCTTTGCTTTGTTTTTTGGTTGTTTTAAATTCCTCACGGTGTTGGAACTAGTGAGTGCTGGAGTCTCAGAAGCCACAGCAGTCACCCAGACTGCCAGGGACAGTGGATTAAGAGAAAGAAGCTCACTGCTTGGGGCATCATACACCCTGTTATTCAGTTTCCTGCCTCGGAGATAAAGATCCCAGCTACATGGGCAAACGCCTGGATCAGCCACAAATGTACCCCCAGTACACGTACTACTGTCCTCAGTACCTCCAAACCAAGGTATGGCTGGACCCGCGGGCTTCGGAAGGCAGCGTGGTGCCTGGCGCTCCTCCGGAGCAGGGCAATCGGACCCTTCCCTCACCCTAGCCCCCATCCCCTCTGTGGACCTCTTTCAAATTGCTAACAGTGGGGACTGAGTTAACAAGCCAGAGGAAGAAGGGAGAGGAAGCCCGGGAGTGTAGCTTTCTCTTTAAAGACAGGGGACTTTCAATGGAGTGTTCTTTTGTTATTTAGCTGCAGAAATGCTGGTGACATGGTTGAAGTCTTTTGCAGGTGAGCAGGGATTTTTAGAAAGGGGGGTCCCAACAGACATTCTCAGGGGCAGGAATATTGTTTTAGGAGCGTTTCTGCTGCTGCGCTGTTCTTTGTGTGTGAATCTCAGAGACTTAGGTTAGCCCCCCCTTTCCTCCTTACAGAAAACACTCTGGGGTGGGGGCCACCTAAACTTTTCATGGCCTAGTACAGCAGGAAAGAAGAGCGCCAGGAGGTTCCAGGGCACCCCTCAAAGTCTTTCAGAGTTTGTTGAGCATGTTTTGTTTGTTTGTTTGTTTTTGGACTGTATTTTATGTAAAGGATGACTGAGATTCGGGGGGGGGGGCTAAAAGAACTAGAAGCTTAGCATCCATGGTTTTTACTTTTAGACTGGCGCTCACCCCTCACCCCGTCAGTTACCACTAGGAAGTCTGGGTCTGAATTTTCAAAAAGGCATGGAATGTAACTGATAATAATTGGCCTTGAATTGGTTAAAGACTTTGGGCTTTGTGTGAGCATGTGCTTAAGTGATCATTAGGGGCCCGGAGGCAAGCCCACGGAACTGAGCAGGGGACAGTGCCCACCCTGAACTTTTATCCCACAGTTAAGACATGAAAGAGGTGAGGTGAGAAATCCATGCTCCAATCTGTCAATTCGATTGGACTTGATTTGAGGAGGGAGGGGGTACCATGTCGGGTACTCTGATTTCATAATGAATTAACCAGACCCCCTCCATCTTCTTAGTAACTCCACATGCCAGAGCAAGCAGGGCTCATCTGAGCAGTATATACTGTCACTGGGTTCTCTGGCTTGATCAGGGTTTGGTAATTCACGATAAGGTTACCTCCCATTTACTCTGTCTTGTCAGACAAATGCCCATTTGAAGACCAAACTAGACAACAGCTTCTTGGGATTGCTGGTGTTTCTCTTTCCATTTTCCCCCTTTTTTGATTGTGCTATGCTATGCCCTACCCCTCCAAGGTCTGCTCACTTTGCTTTCTGCCTTTGTGCCCACTAAGTTTGGGCAGCCGCTGCTTAAATAGATCAACTCTCTTGCCTGGTGCCCTGAGCATTAACTCTTTGGGCAACTTGGTTGATGACGCTGCCTACTACTTTAAAGAAATGGTCAGGCAAGTTTTAAAAAGAAAACAAATACCCACGGTTGTTTTTCCTCCGTAAAGAGACAAAAGCAATAACCTCCAGGGTTGCCTGAGAAATATCAAGCATTCCAAACCTTTTACTCATTTGGCTAAATTTTTCCAAATGTTTCCCCAAATCATTTGTAATGGTTCTGGTTTTCTAGTGCCATGTACAACCGCAAGAGAAACTTTTGACTGAAGTTTGAGTGAAATGGTTTGGGTTTCTGTTTTGTTTTTCTCCTAGATTGCTTTTAATGTAACAGGGAATCATGAATGCTGAGGAGAGTTAAAGATACAGGGTGCTGGGTGGGTGAGCCACTGTAGGAAAAGGAAGGATGAAGAAAGAAGGGAAGGAGGGAGGAGAGGAGGGAGGGAGGGAGAGACAGAGACAGAGACAGAGACAGAGACAGACAGACATGAGAGTGAGGAAAGACTGCAGTAGTGATTTGAAGTGTTTTGCCTGAGGAAAACTGAGAGGTTTCTCAAGTCTGTTTGGGGTCCCGTGTAGCATTAAGGCCCCATGAACCTGACAGTGTCTCTGGGTCTTGTTACTTTCAAGCCAGCTAAAGCCAGCAGCATCTGCAACATTTTTTACGAAGTTAGCTCACTTAGGTATCCTAAGCTGATATTTGGGTAATCAGATCAGGGCCGGTAGGGAATGAATGCAAAATCAGCTGCTTGGGGTTTCATGGTATCTCATCTTGATGGTTATGCTGTAGAATTCCAGCACGGCAGCGTAGTTGTCAAGGACTGTTTTGGTGCCTCTGGAATGACAGACATTAATGACATCCCAGGAAACTAGAGATGTGAAAGGTTGGATTCTGAAGAAGTATCCGTGTGTTGTTCTATCTGAGCATGTGGGGACTTTCTGACCGACTTTATCCAATACAAGGAAGCCTTGTCTGGAGTATGGATGGCAGGAGAACACAGTTTCTACAGGACCTCTGCCTTTTCCCTACCTACCTATCTCAGAACAGTATTTATAATCAGTTAGAAGAGATGGTGTTACTTTTATATTTGTTTGACTAGCTTAGATTAAATTCATGGAACTCCACTGTTCCAGCATTGATACTTAGTTGCAGCTTAAGTTTGCTGTCACAGTCAGTGAAAACCATGCTCACATATAAAGAATACTTATACTTGATAGAGATAGAATCCTATGGTTGATCAAAGTCACATCACTGGGATATCAGACCTTCAAGAGTTGTTTAAAGTCAAGTGGTTTTTTTTTTCCCAATATACAAGAGGTGTGTGTGTGGCGGGGGGGGGGGGGTGTTGGGGTTGGGATTTTTTTTAAATTTTTAAAAAATAAAAAACAGTTTTCGCAGCATTTTTAAAAAACATAAAACAAACACAAACAACGCCCCCCCCCCCACCAGGGCTCCTGCTTTGTACTTAAATAGTGAAATGTTGAACACAAGTTCTAATTGCTTGCGGGAAAAACAACATGAAATCAGTATTCTAAAACCGGATGCAGGAGCCTTCCACTTCCTCAGATGCGCACTGTAGCTCAGGGATGGTGATATGTCCCACGTTCTTTCTTCTTGTTTCTCATTCCGTGAGAGCCTAACTTTCTACTTTGCTTCAATTAAACAAAATTAGAAGTCAGCTCTTTCTGTTTCATCTGTTAGAAGAATTTTCCAGATGCCTCAAATGCTTTATAGGAGACAAAACGCACATGTAGCCTAGATAATAGAGTAACTGTTACATGGCATTAACTGCACACAATGTCATGTATTTAAATGACCTGGGCCCTTGCCTGTAGCTGTGTGACTGTGCTGCTGGGCTGTGCTCATATCTCTAAGTATTCTCTCTCTCTCTCTCTCCATATATATATATATATATATATATATATATATATATATATATAATTTTTTTTCTGGAGAAGACAATCTGAAGGTCTGAAGGTGAAGGAGGGGCATTGCTTTTGGTCACGGTAGAATAAAAATACCTACTGACATGTTGTAATATTTAAACAAGTGATATGGCTTGCTTTTTAAAAAGTTTTTCAAAGTAAGCTGCTGCTTGGATGGGTACAAAGACCAATCAGCAGCTTTAGAGAAGGGCAATCTGAAAACAGTACATTATCTTCCTGTCAAAATTCAAAATGGCATTGACTCTTGCAACCCCATGTTTTTCAAGTCTTCAGAAAATCCACCTATTGGAGTCGGCTTCTGAGAGTCCAGGTACATTCTCCTGTGACTTTGAGGCACAAAGGGTAGGGATGTTTCTCATCAACAACAACAAAAGCAACAACAACAACAACAACAACAACAACAACAACAACGTAACCAGTCAATAAAGCAGTCCCAAAAAGAAAGCTAGGGAAGGGTGATATGCTTGCTTACTGCATGGTGAACTGGTATTCCTGGATACTGGGGTTGGGAAATGAATATTTGTCTCTTATGTAGTATTTGGAAAACTTTAGTCATGTTCCTCAAACATCAGAAAGAGATTCCAGCTGGTGTCGTCTTTCTTGCTTTAATATAGCCTTCCAGGCTTGCAGGCTTCTCTACCAGCCCAGAAAACAGAACCGTGTTCCCCTCTCTGGTAAGCTTCTTTTTCCAGAACATCTTTAAAAAGGGTTGAGACGAGGAGACCCTTCCTGGGTTCCTCTAGCTAGAGGCATTCATTCAGAGCAGGATCAGGAATGAGAGTGAGTCTCACCCACTGGATATTGACTTCAGCTTCAACTATCATAATTGGCAGTCCAGCCTGCTGCCTCCCACAGAGAGTCTAGCTTTGGTTATGTCATAGAGATGGGTTTGTGCTGTAGAACGAGCCTCTACAGGAGGAATGAAGAGTGGGCAAAGAAAAGGGGCTTCTAGAGGGCAAAGGGACGTTATTACTTGTGGACGTTCGAACTTGTGGACAGTCAGATTCTTCAAAAGCAAAATCACTCCTCACACAGTTGTCATGTAGGCACAGGAATGCAAGCTTCCAGAGGGAGGGAAGGAGGGAGGGAGGGAGGGAGGCTGGGATTTCTTCCTGCTTCCTGCCTGGGCTTTGCACTGATAGCTAGTCTTTGGTAACCTGCCAGTTGTTTGAAAACAGCCCTGAAAACTCCTAAGTTCTGTTTTCCTTTGTAAGCTTGAAACATACAAAACTGGTTTTCTATTGAAAACAAACAAACAAACAAACAAACAACCTTGCAACCATGGAATATTTAACTACAATTCCAAATATTTTCCTTTGCTTAGGGGTGGGGATGAAGGGTAGCCCGGGAATGTGATAAATCTTGTTTGCCTTAGTTTTAAGTGTGCAGAATTTTAATTTGTTTTAAGTAAGAGGAAAAAAAGAAAAGAAAATAGCCACAAGGATTTACTCTGTGCGCTCAGTTCCTCACTCCTGTAGATTTTTAGGCTCAGTGGGTACAGCCTGGTGTAGGTTTTGCTCTCTTGTCTAGATAATGTAGTTTTATCTCCTTAAAATGTCTTTTTCAACAGAGGTCAGATTGTTCAGGAACTTTTTATTTTCTTTGGACTCGGAGCTTAAAGGAACACCAGTTAATCCTCCCTGGAGCACCTCTCTTTCATTTTCTCCCCATTTACAAAAGAAATAACTGAATTATGCAATAGAAGAACTTTTTACAAGAGGGAATAGGCTCTG